GTGATCAATTCCCCCTTTCTACACCCCCCTTCCCCTTTTTTTGTAATTGACAGTGGTGAAAGTTTATCCCATGTACTTTTGACATGTTGTCAGGAGAGACCATTCCCTGGAGAAGGACATCATGCTTGGCATCATCGAGGATCAGCGATAAAGAGGAAGGCCATTAAGGAGATGGGGTTAACACAGTGGCTCTAAGAGCAGGTTCAAGCACAATTCTGAGGACAGCTCAAGCCCGGGCAGTGTGTCTTTCTATTGTTCACAGGCTTGCTCTGCGTCAGAGCCAACCGGATGGCACCTATTTATACTGTTAAATAATTTAAGATGGAAAGAGTCAGGATAAGGTTCATTTAAAGGTGCAGTGGTTGTATATGATAAGCAAAACCTGAAAAAATATTAAGGTTAGACACCTGGCAGAGAATACAAACTCAAATAGTTTCCCACAAATAGAATGATAGAAAGTGGTGACTGCACTCGGTCAAAGGCAGAAAATGTGTGGGACACAGAATGACAAGGTAGTTCCACTGACTTCTAGCTCTCACAGACATTCTTGTAAGCAATTCAGTGTGTTCAGAATGAAGTGAATCTCAACTTGTGGTGCGGGGAGTGGCGTGGGGGGAGGGTGGCGTGGTTGGGGGGGGAATTTGTTCGTGGGTGGTAATATTGACCTAAAGCACATATGTGTATATCTTAGAACTTTGAAAATTCTTGTTCTATGAATTTTCTTGACATACATATACAATAATATTCTTGGTGTTGATGATAGGATAACCAAATTGAGACTAAAAATACTGAAAAAAATGCTTATGGAAAATTTAAATCTAGATTGGCTAAGTTTCTGTCATGTAGGAAAAAAATAGTTTATAGGGAAGGAAAAAAACAGACTCAACTTCTAAAGAGCCCTCATCCTAGACCTCACTCTTGGATTCCACTACCAAATACATTTGTCAAGAATTCAAAGGAACGGATGGTTGTGAATATTCCCTTTGTATTTTTTTTAAAATCACACAATTCTATACTATTTAATTCATAAACTGTCCTTTTAAACCCAGTGCATGTTTTTTAAACATGGCAAATACCAGTATAAAACTCTGGTTAAAGCCCACAGCATTCTACATTCTTAATGTCATAGAATATATTATTTTCACTTTAGCTTTTCTCAGTTATACCGTTAAGCTCAGTAGTCCAAGGCATTTGAATGAGAACTGCACACACATTTTGCCCATGCAAGGAAGACTGAGACTTTGTTTTGGGACCTGCAGGAATGGATGGTGAGATGGATTGTAGAATCCTAGGCCAAGGCGAAGGGAAGAAGAAGAGTCTATATCCAGAAAATACAGCTTTACTGGAATTAGATAAAGATCCAAGTGGGGAATGATAGAGTGAGTGACAAAGGTGACAAGGTTAATGACAAAGATTAGTGAGGGAAGAGAGGACACGATGAGTTTTGTTACCTCAGATTTCCAGTGAAAAGTCAGCAGAAACAAAGTCCCTGTAGTTTACAAATCACCTCTGAAAGGGTTCAGGTCTAAGAAATTCAGATTGTGCAATATGGGGTTTTTATAAATTATCTTTTAAATTGATTTATATTGAGTTTTTATTCCTAGCGATTTATTATAATATAACTTGTTCTCGGGTGCCACTGCGTCGGTTCTGACTCACGTGACCCTCACGTGGAGAATAGAATCAAGCACTGCCCAGTCCTGCTCATCCTCACGATTATGTTTGAGCTCCCTGTTACAGCCACTTTGCCAGCCCCATCTTTTCAAGGGTCTTCCTCTTTGTGGCTCCCCCTCTACTTTAACAACATAATGTCCCTCTCCAGGGACTGGTCTCTTCTGACATGTCCAAAGTATGTGAGACAAAATTTTGACATCCTTGCTTATAAGCTCATTCTGGCTGTATTTCTCCCAAGACGGAGTCCTTGCTCTTTTGGCAGTCCCAGGTACTTTCAATATTCCTCATCAGTGCCATACGTCAAGCTCATTGATTCTTCTTCGGACTTCCTTATCCGGTGCCCAACTTTGACCTGTAGATGAGGCAATTGAAAACACCATGGCTTGGGGAAGGTGCATCGTAGCCCTCAAAGTAACATCATTGCTTTTTGACATTTAAAAGAGATTGTGTACAGCAGATTTATCCAATGTAATACGTTGTTTGAATCTAGTCAGACATGATCAGCCAGAAGCTAGGGAAGATCTTGTAACTATTTCTTACGTGACATTATGGCATATTATTATAGATGGTTTACTTTTTAGTTTCAATAATCTGTAAAAAAAATAGTACTATTTTATTATAAATGATCTAATCTTAGTTTAAAATCACTTTTTGGTCATGGTTGAGAAATATATAAAACTGCCATTCCAAATTATTCAGTTTCTTGTGAGAAAATATTTTATAAAATTAGAGCTTTCTATTTATTCTTTTTTTTCTTATCTCTGTATTATTCCTGTGAAGAGAAATCTTGACAAAACTTGAATTTTCCATATACCAAGACATTTTATCCTTTTCTTTCAATTCCAGGGCTGATGGTGTAATGAGGACAATGGCTCCTGAAAAGCTACTAAAAAGCATGCCAATACTACAGGGACAGATTGATGCGCTGCTTGAATTTGATGTGTGTATCTCCCCACATTCTTGCACAACCATGTTGTCTTTCATTTGATGGTGGCTATTTGAGGGGGTGCACTCCAGAAGCAGAAAAAGCTCCACTGGACGGTGCTTTCATAGTATGCATTTTTCCCACGAAGCAAGCATGGAGCAACTCGCTCTGAGTTACTCTTCCCAGTGGGGTTGCCTAGGAAGGTTCTCTCTGGTCACAGTGATTTTTTTTTTTAAAGCAGTTTCACCGGAACCTCATTTTTTGGTAATGATTGACTGAAGAGAACAGCTGTGAAGTCTTGTTTCTCACTCGGGAAAAGTGCCTCAGAAAACGTTGTGATGTTGAACACAGCTTACAAGGACAGCAACTAGGGGGGAAACTCAAGTGTAAGAGTGTTTTCCTCGTTTTAAAAAAGGTGAAATGTCCATTGATGACAAACCTTGTTCTGTATGCCCATCACCTTCCCAAGCCAATGAAAATGTCAACAAAATTGGGCCACTTGTGCTCAAAAAGTGACGATGGAACACTGAAGAGCTGGGGAAGTTATTTGGACTATTTGGAGCTCAGTTCGGTGGGTTTTAATGGAAGCTTTTGGAATGAGAAAGGATGCTGCAAAATTTGTGCTTCAGGTTCTGACTGACGGGAAAAGAAGTGCATTGAGTGGAAACATGCCATGCTTAGAACAACTCCGAAGCGATCCAGACTGTTTTCCAAAGGCCATTACTGGTGACAAGACATGGTACTATTCTTACAACCCCAAAGCAAACCTCAATCAAGCCAGTGGAAGACACCATTATCCCCTCACCCCAAACAGCTCATCAAGTGAAATCAAAGGTCAAGAGGATGCTGATTTGTTTTTTTGATGTGAGGGGGTAGAGTGCATTTGGAGGTCATTCCGCCAGGTCCTACTGTTAATCAAGCTATTTAGAAGTTCTGAAAAGATTGGATAACAGTGTGTGGGAAAAGAAGGCCTGATTTGTGGCAGATGGGGGTTAGTTTTGCCACCATGACAATGCATCTACTCACGCATCTATCTCAGAGGGCCAGAGTTTGGCAAAAAACAGCATGCCTCTCTTGCCCCATGTACCTGACTCACCTGAGCTCATTCCATGCGACTTCTTTTTGTTTCTGAGAATGAAGAGGGACATGAAAGCACAGCAATTTGAGGATGTAGAAGAGGTGAAGAAAAAAACGAGGGAGTTGCTGTCAGCCATCCAAAAAGATGAGTTTGAAAATGTTTCCAAGATGGAATCGCAGATTTGACAAATATATTAAGTGTAATGGAGAGTACTTTGAAAGTGATAGGGTTGTTGTGTAAAAAACGTAAATACATAGCTTTGAAAAAATTCATTTGGGAGAGGGCACCCTGACATAGATTAACGCCAGATCTTCTTACAAAGGTTTCAGATCTCTCTTCATTTACAATTAGATGAATACCTACTATAGGCTATACCATATAATAAATGTGATTTGGGCACCCCAGATTTTCATCAGTGTTTCAGGTGGTCAGTCCAGGAGAACTGTGAAGTGGTACATTTTTGAAACTCGATGTCCTTTTGGTAATTAAATTATGTGCCCTGATATTAAAAATCACTTTATGTGACTTGTTAAAATTACTGACACTATCAATAAAAGAGAACTATTTTTCATTTCATCACAGACAAAATTGGTCCTTCTTCCTGGAAATATCAACATGATTTGTTTCTTAAAATCATTCCTATATCTTGACTGTGGTAGTGGATACATTAACCTACACATGTGATAAAATTATACATAATAAAACACATGCAAATGAGTATAAGTGAGGAAATATGAATAAAAATTTTCGATCTTACCCGTGTCAGTATCCTGGATGTACTATTTTACTATACTGTCATTAAGTTGTTACTGTGAAAGGAAACTGGTTAAATGGAACATGGACTATCTCTATATTACTTCTTAAAACTGGATGTGCATTGGCAATGATATCAAAATTTTTAAAAAGTTAAAACCACCTCATTCATGAAAATAAAATATGTTTAAACCTGGGAAAATTTGGAATGCATGTTGCTTCCTGGTGGTTACTTAAATACTTTCCTCCAATAATAGTATTTTTGAAATCTCAACTAGTATTATTTGGTTTAGACAATAATGGAGTCCGAGCCACAATGCCTAATCGTGGGAAATTTCAGCAAAAGCAGCAACCGTTATCATTGCTACTTGACGGGTTTTCCAGTAAGAACTTCGTTAGGTACCCGTGGAGTTAGTTCTCTTAGCTTTTTCTTCATATTCATTTCGTTTTCTCTGCCCTTAATAAGGAAACGGTCTTAAAAGGAAAAAGCAGTCAGAATGAGAAAAAGGACCGTGTATAAGGAGTTTGCGAATGAAGATTTGGTAGAAACCTTGCCACTTTATGTTGGTCACTATATTGTTTGTTGAATACGTGAATGGTTATGATGGTCAGAAAAAGTTTTAAGCATAGCTGGTTAAGATATCTCATCCCCTTGCTCCTTCCTTACCGAATCACCGCAGGCTCCTGGGGCCCTTCCTCGGGGATGGTTAGAGATAGCAAAATATGTGAGTGGGCTGGGGAGGGGGAGAGATAATAAAGCATAGTAAAAGCAACAGAAGACCAGAGGTTTAAAAGTTGGATTTGATTGATTTCTGGGTTATTTATATAGAATAATGAAGCAAAATGAAGCAAAAATATCTTTTGATATTGATAAGGTTACTAAAAGAGCTACTTGAAATTTGTAGAATATGAGTGAATTCCTTAGTAATATTTTGAGACGTTTTAATATGCATTAAGAGGAAAATGTGATTTCATGACGCACAGTTGACTTTATTAAATTTTTATCTTTTCACAGGTGCATCCAAATGAACTAACAAATGGTGTCATAAATGCTGCATTTATGCTTCTTTTCAAAGACCTTATCAAACTTTTTGCTTGCTACAATGATGGAGTTATTAACTTACTTGGTAGGTGGAACTGCAAAACATGTTTTAGTTAGTACTGCATCTGAATACTGAGTTGGATTCTTTAAAACTCTATATTTAAAACTCTAAATATATGATTCTTTTCTGTCCATTTCTCTATGTATTCTTAGGTTAATCAAGACTGAGTGCAGGAAACATAAAACTGTAGATACTTTATAAAATCAGGAAGAGATTTCATATAGAGAAATAAGTCCCTATCAAATTTCAGAAAGGTTGAAGGAGCATGTTCTAGACTTTGCCTGTCATAAGTCCTGTAACAATCAATATCTGATACACTATGCTAACAGCTAGCTACCTTTGAGGCCCCCCTCGAGATGGCGTGATACTGAGGAGGAGCACTCTCGCTTCTTGGTTCCTGGATCCATGTGCTCTGGCTGTGCGGGATAATGAACTGATTTATACTTCGGAGAACATACTAGAGTTGTTCATTCTCAAGAAATTGTCTTGCAGCCGAGACCAATCAGAGCCCACCATTCTGTGACACTGGCGACTTCTGGGCCGTGATTCATGAGTGCTATTGAAAGAGTCCAGTGTCTCACCTCTCAGTACAGTGAGTGTTTGGCACAAGCTGTGTTGGGTAGCATATCATGATGGAGCATAAGGCCTCAGATGGTGCTGGCAGGGCAAAATAGGCAAAGATGATAAATTCATATCCAGGGAAACAACTTAGCCTGGTGTAAACCGAGTGTTGCTCTTTCCTCTTATCACCGGAGTTAACTCAGAATTGATGGTAGGCATGTCAGCCTCGATGATGGGAAGTCCATGTTGTTGAACCTATTCATAACTTCAGTATATGATATCATAGCCCCTTTGTTCAACAGCCTTTGGAATCTTCTTGTTCCCCAATTACTGAGAGCGTGTGTGCATGTGGTGGTGGTGGTTGGGGTGCTGTGGAGCACTGTGAAAGCCCGCTGGTTTGCATCCTTGTGGGATGACAATTGCCTTCGGCTTACTCACCTTCTGAGAGCTGCAGCTACTACTTTTTCTCCAGGCTTTCTTCACTTGATCTTAGCCAAAAGGCCGAGGAGTGATCTCCAGGCTTTCTTGTTAATAATCATCCTCTTTTATAACTGCTCATAATTAGGTGAAATTCCGTATTTCTTGTCATCTTGCCTTTGATATAAACTCAGAAATAAAAAAAGTAAACCTGCCTCATGTATGGCCCACTGTGTGGAGGTTTTCTGTCTCTTGTCTGCAGTATTCAGGGTATACAATGACTCAGCAGAGTATTTACAGATGGTGCTAGCATTTGGAACCATCTCTAAACTAAGCTTGAATTTTCCCCCAGTCATGGGGAATTTTCTCCCCAATAGTAGTCACAGGGAATGACCCAGAGGGCATTCGCATGATTGAAACCATGAAGAGTAGGGCAAGCCCTGGGAATATGACAGTCAAGACTTGTTTGAGGCGTATTGCCTACCTAGCACTTCTGTCGGATAAGGGAGTATTCTTACATGTGTCTAACTTACGGCTTGGTAGATCAGATACCATCCCTTTAAGTCTTATTATCACCTGGTGTTCTACAATCAGGCTTTCAGTAGCTAGAAACAAGCCAAGATGATTTCTGCCGGAGGAGAACAGTTACTGTCTGAAGTAGACAAGGCTGGATTTCAAACTCAAGGAGCCCTGGTGGTGTAGTGGGTTGCGGGTTAGACTGCTACCAGCAGCCACCGTAAGAGAAAGATGAGGCATTCCACTCCTGTAGAAATGACAGTACCAGAAGCCCCATGGGGACAGGTCCCCTCTGTCCTAGAGAGTATCATCTGTGAGTCGGAAGCAACTCGAAGGCTGTGAATTTGGCTTTATGGACGGGCCTGTGCTATCACTTACATACTGGAGCTTGTAGGGGCATTGTGTACTCTTTGGGTCTACCTCAGACACTTTGAGTACCTTTTGATGGGAAAAAGGCCTGAGTAACTACAGTGTGGAGCAGTGACAGAGCCTTCCGTGTCCTGGGCCTCCCTCCTCCCTCATATCTGACAGCCATGTCAGACTGTCTGTTCGGAGCAATGCACGTGCTTGCACACATCACCTCCAAAAGATTCTGTGGCAGTCTTTGCCTCCCTTTTAACGAAAAGGGGTTTAAGTTATTGCTAGTTGTCAAGGAGGCTATTTCTCTAACATTCTCAGACCTTTAGACCCTCAGAAATGTCACTGAGACTGCAGGTCCCTGAATTTTAGGGACTCTGCATTTTAACATGCATACGTCTCATCATCATGACGTCTGACACACCTATTCCTTTTTACTTTGCAGTACAATCAGCCTTATGTCATCTAAATGACGTCCTGTGGGATTAGGACAGATAGAGGTTGATGTCCCTAAAATAAAATATCAAGTATTTACTGACTTCTCTACTAGATGAAGGCATACTATTTTTGATGATCTGTTTATTAGGGTAGAAATAAAAAATATATTTATCATTTCAGTAACTGCCTGCCAGGTACCAGGAGCTGTGTTGATCTTTCTTTGGTAAAAGAGGACACGTTTCGATCTCTTCAACTAGAAGTTATTGCCTGATTGATTTTACAGTAATCCATGGGTAACCTCTAAAATTAATTCATCTTTCACACAACCAAATATGTGACGTAAATGGGGCTATAATGTATCTGCTCCCCCACTGCTTTTTCCGAGACCAGAGAAGCAGCATGGAGAGTCCCCTAGTTTCTGAGTATGCCTAGCCCAACTACGCGCTCCGGAAATTGGGTAGATAACCACATACCTTTTCATGTTTCCTTTTATTATCGTAGTTTTCTCTACTGAATAAAACATGTTGGTAGAATATGTAGTGACATTTTGAGACCCCAGAGAGTAACATAAGATTGAGTCAACGTCCAGTAATTCCTGAAAAATCTGGGTATATCCCATTCCTCTGTGCTCAGTCATGCTGCTGAAGGTCCCTTTGTAGAAGACTAGGCAAACCTGAGCTGTGAAAAAAATCAAGTGACACACTGCTTTAGGCATATCTGCTGCATAAGACGTCTAAACTGTTAACGAACAAAAATGCTCCCTTGAGGACTAAGATATGCCTCATCAACAATACATATGGAAAGCTGGACAAGAACTGGTGCACCTGATATGCAAAGAATGTTGAGTATTCCAGAAGGACGAACAAGTCTGTGTGGGAGAAATACAGCTGGATTGCTTCTCGGACACAAGGGTGATGGAATCTTGTTTTACCTACTGTGGACATGTTTTTAAAAGGGGCCAGTCCCTGGAGGGCATCATGCTCTGTAACGCAGAGAGCTAGTGAGGAAGAGGAAGACCCTGAATGAGATGGATTGGCACAGTGACTGCAGCAATAAGCTCAAACATAACAACACTTGTGAGGTTGGCGCGGGCCCTGCATAAGTCACAATCACAACTCACTACCATTGAGGCTATTTCAGCTCACTGTGACCCTACAGGATGGCATAGAAGTGTCCCTGTAGCTTTCTGACACTGTAAATATTTATGGGAGTAGAGAGCCTCATCGTTATCCTTTTTTTTTTTTTTAAACAAAAAAGAAAAGCCTGTAGTTAGTTCAAGGACTGTTTGTTGGCCTTTAGGAGTGTTTTCTGGTTGAGTCTGATGGGGCGCCACGCCCTGGCCCCAAAGTCTATTTTTGGTATTCCTTGGGGACTTTGTTGCTTTGTTCCCCTTGCTGTTCTGTTGCACGCCCTTAGTGTTTTGCCTAGATGTGGTGGGATCAGATCCGGCAGAATTGCCACACTGTGTCTCCAGTGTTGTCCCCTGTAGGGCGATGGGTCAGTGAGAGATGTCGTGTCTCCTAGTGGGGCCTGGCGTATGGTCTTCTCTATGGACTGGCTGCTCTCAGCGGGAATATCGCCCTCAAGGCTTGGTGGGCCAGGCTGTGCTCCCCCTTCATTTGCTCCTGTGTGCTCTGATCAGACATGTCCCTCTCCCTGAGCTGCAGGTCAGTGCTGTCCTCTGAAATAAATTCTTCAGGGAGGGGCAAGTGTCCACGTAGTTGGGATTGGGACCATTCCACTGCACCTAATTTTTAAATGAAATTTGATTCATAAACTTTAAATTGTATGATAGTTCATGAAATGCCTTACTGTTTTTATTTAGCAGCTTGTGGACGCTAACAAAAATGTCAATTTTTAAATATAAAAGAAATGTTTGAATGTCAAATCAACATAAATAATTTTATATATTATAAGGCAAAATTTGAGACATATTTAAATGAAAGCACATAATTGTTGTTTATCTGAAACTTAAATTTAACTATCTGTTGAGTTCTGTATTTTATTTTTCAGCCCTACTGGCAAAATACATTTGCAAAATCTTGCACCTCTTTGTCTATGTCCCCTTAGAGCATGCTGGGGTTGCTGGGATATAAAGCTCCTTCTAGGTGTTGAGGCAGTTGGCAGAGAGAAGGACGGAGAGGGAAGATAGGGCTTTTATCTCTAGTCTCAGGTGAGTTGATCACAGTACCTCTCAGCAAGGCAGAAGAACCAGCTTGCTCAGACTGAGGAGGAAAAGATTTTACCAGCAAGCAAAGTTCATTGTGGCTTGAATCTACCCAAATGCTCCCCTCTGTTAGGCTTCCTGGCCCCACTCTTTCTCAGTTAATGTTCTGACTTTCACAAAGGAGCCCAGTGAGGTTCCCATAAGCATATTTCACATCATTCTGCAACTTGCAGCATTAGACCCTTGATGACTTTCAGTCATGGCAGCCATGTGGCTACAAGAAGATAAAATTATTATAGGAGAGTCTTGGAGTGACCCAGTCCTCTGACCAGGTC